ACTAGCTTATATAACTCGCACAAATTCAGGACGTCATTGGAGAACACTGAGTGTGAGTTTAACACCTTCTCATTTCCTGAGTTTCAGCATTTGTTCGAAGAAAACATAACCTACCATTTGAAAATAAATATACTGAGAATGTTTACCTCTCGATTTTGTCTAATTTTCATGATGTGATGGCTTTTGCTGGGCTTAGTTCCACATCTATCAGCACTATTTTTCAACCTTCATTCAGCATCACTCAAGTCAGTTTTGAACATGCTGCCTGGCTTTGAAGTCATTCCAATTCTCATTCATCCATCACCTGCAGGAAAATGGGACTAGTTTAATTGTGAAAACTGGGCAGCATGGGGCAAGTTGGGCCGAAGAGCCTGTTTTCATGTTGTAGACCTCTACGGCTCTATGACTGGTTGCTGACCATCACACAGTGGTTGCTAACCTACGTTGGCTCCTGGTCCAATAGTAACTCTGTTTTAAAATCCTCGTTCTTGTTTTCGGATCCGACAATTGCTTTTGTTTTGTCCCAGATTATGTACCCTCGTTCAGAGCTAAACAGCATTCAATGCAGCTCATTTGTCCAATTCTGGCCTCTTGCACATCGCTGATTATAATCACTTCATTGTTGGTGGCTGTGCATTCAGCTACCTAGGTTCTAAGGTCAGGAATTGCATCCCTAAATCTTCCCATCCTCTCTCCCTTTCTCTTCTTTGAAATGGTCCATCTGCGATTCAGTGTCAGAATAATTTTATTGATATCATCTTATTGAGCTTTTATTGTGATATTTCATTCCATTAAATGTTTTATAGATGCAGATTGTTGTTGATCAGAAGGTGCTGTCAAACTATTTGGTTATACATTGAACCTGACCTTACCTTCTCCTGAGCTCCTTCCTGCAGGGAATTGAGTATTGAACAGGAAAGAACAGAAAGGAAGAAAGATGGGCTTGCATTTATTTGTGTTTTACATGACCACATCTCAAAGTGCTTCCTAGCCAATGAAGTACTTTTAAAGTGTGCTCATTATTGTACAGTGAGGAAGCTGCCAGCTAATTTGCACAGTCAGCACAAACAGAAATATGTAAATGTTTTTCCCGGATGCTGATTGAGGGCTAGATATTCACCAAGATACTGAGAATAACTCCCCTTTCTCCTAGAAATACTACCATCCACCCACACAAGTTATCCTGTCTGGTATGCCCGACACTGCAGCTCTCCCTCACCACAGCAGTGGGAGAATCAGTTTGAGCTCTCATTCTCAAACACTGGAATGAGACTTCTCACAGAATCCTCACAGTGTGGAAGCAGGCCATTCAGCCCATTGAGTCCACACCAACCTTCCAAAGAACATCCCGCTCAGACCCACCCCGCTACCTTATCCCTATAATCCTGCACATCACACAGCCAATCCATTTAACCGACACATCCCTGGACACTATGGACAATTTAGCATGGCCAATCCACCTAACCTCTAGACTGTGGGAGGAAACTGGAGCATCAGGAGGAGACCCACGTGGACACAGGAGAACATGCAAGCTCCACACAGACAGGTGCCCAAGACTGGAATCAAACCCAGGTCCCTGGCGCTGTGAGGCAGCAGTGTTAACCACTGAGACACTGTGCTGCCATATGAACGTTAACTTGAACTCAGACCTCTGTGACTAAGAGGGAAGGTGTCACCAAGTGAGTCAGGAAGGGTTTTGCTACCTTCACCCAGGAAGAACCACATTATTGGAGGAAACAGATTAAAAACAAAAGTTCTTAGACATTCCCCGTTGACAACTTCCTGCCATTTTAAATGCCATGTGGCAGCACCCATAATGCACTGCAACATGGTACCGATTAGATCCAGCCTCAGCAATAAGCCTGTGTTGCTTTCATTGAATTGATCACTGACATTTTTCTTAAATATCTGGCTGAACACCAGCTGGCCGAAACATTTCTCTTGTTTTTTTTGCCAATGACTTGTGCTAAATGACTCATTCCCACAAAAATTGAACTCTCACTCTAGTGTTTGAGAATGGCAGATTTGAACCCTCAGAACATTCCCTGAGTTTCTGGATTAATAGTCTAGTGAAAATATCACTAGGCCCTAGGCCATCACTTCCCCTCTGATTGCTTACTGTCCCCCAGCAATGTCTTCTTTATATCTTGCTGGCTTTGCTGTCAACAGAACGAACCCATTGTCTCCGTTTTACAGCTAACATTTACACCTATTTTACACATCTATCTCTCCATTATCATTTCCTTTGTCTGTTGCTCTAGGCAACCGCACAATCTGTTCCACTTGTTCCTTCTGCTGACTCCAGCATAAAAAACAATATTTTCCAGCTCCTTTCAGTTCCAAAAAAAGTCATATTGGACTGAAAACATTAACTCCGTTTCTCTCTCCACAGAAGCTGCTAGACCTGTTGAGTTTCTCCAGCACTTAATAAAAACCGAAAGAACTGCGGATGCTGTAAATCAGAAACAAAAACAAAGTTGCTGGAAAAGCTCAGCAGGTCTAGCAGCATCTGTGAAGGAAAAAACAGAGTTAATGTTTCGGGTGCAGTGACTCTTCCTCTGAACAGTCCTGAGGAAGCAGTTCTGAGGAAGGGTCACCGGACCCGAAACGTTAACTCTGTTTTTTCCTTCACAGATGCTGCCAGACCTGCTGAGCTTTTCCAGCAACTTTGTTTTTGTTCTCCAGCACTTTGTTTTCTTCCCGTTGTGAAGCAAGTACTTTGTGCAAGAGCAGATGTTTTAACTTCAACTTCTCTGGACCTCCAGAGATGCACAAATGCACTCCATGCACAAATTTCATTTTGTGTGTGAACTCTCAGAATGCCTCCTCACAATAGTTTCACATTTGTTGGTTATCTCTATCATGCTGAGCCTGTGCAAATACCAAATGATGCAAAGTAATCATAAATAGGGGAGGCCTTGGGGTATTATAGCTGGACTGTTAATCCAGAGACCTGGGTAATGTTCTGGGAACCCAGATTCAAATCCCATGATGGCAGATGGCAATAAAAATTTGGAATTAATAGTCTAATGATGACCATGAAACCATTTTTGACTGTCAGGAAAAACCCATCTGGTTCACTAATATCCATTAGGGAAGAAAACTGCCAATCTTACCTGGTCTGGCCTACATGTGACGCCAGACCCACAGCAATGTGGTTGACTCTTAACTGCCCTCTGGGCAGTTAGGGATGGGCAATAAATGCCATAGCCAGTGACACCCACATCCCGTGAATGAATTAAAAACATTTGCTTTTTGCTGCAATCTGAAATGCATGCTCAAAACACTTCCTTTTAGGGAGATATCACTAATAAGTGCAGGAATGTGAGGAGATTCTGTTCTATACATTGAACAAAAGTGGATTGTATAACCTACTTAATATCTACTCCTTATACACTGATTAATGCACAAAAATGTGTGGAGAATAGGTTACATATTTCACAGAATCCTTCATATCAAGAGAAGCAAGAGCAATATCAATAAAATTAGCTTCTCTGCAACAGGGTTCGGAGTCAAATATGTTGGATCAGAAATTTCTCGATCCAATTGCACTGAACTTGCAGCAAAATCTGCAAAATCAAACAATAATATTTGCCAAAAGTTCTTGACAATATCATTAGCTCAGTCTGGGACACAAAAAACATAAGTAAAACAAGCCAAAGTCAATGTAATTGAAGCCTGAGGGGATTGTGAAATATATATCATCTTCCTTCTGTAAGTCCCTCTTTATTGTACTGATGTTAGGATAAATTACACATGAAAGCCATCAAAATCTCTTATTCTTGTTTGGCACAGTGCGTGGAAGAGAATGCAATTGCGAGAGCTTTTTTTCAATGTAGCTTATGTTGATGTCATAAAAATATTTTCAAGATGGAGGCACTGGCACAATAGGTAGTGTTTGCGCTCTTGAGCGTGTCCGTTTCAGGCCAGCTGCATCCCTCTGTCTCTCTCCCTTTTCATCTTTTGCTTTCTCTTTTTTCTTTTCGTAATCTTCTGACGTGGTGGGGAAGCCAGAGCAGTGTTTGGCGCGTCATTGGCTATGGCGGTTTTCAGCAGGTCTTCGGCTGTGGCGGTGCCCAGAGCGAGGACCCCTGCTGCGTGTGGCCCAGAGTGAGGACTCCTGCAGTGGGAGGCCCAGAGCGAGGATTCAGGGACTTGGTGGGTCGTCGGCTGCGATGAAGGCGTTGCCTGGAGCAGAGGCTCCTGGCTGCAGCATGCCCGCAACATGGACTCTCGGCAGGATTGTCATTTGTGTCCCTGTTGCGGAGACACTGTGAGTCCTGGGACACCTTGCAGAAGCCCTGGAGCTGTGTTTGAAGACCCCTTGTACAGAAGATGAACTCTATTCATGTAATTTCTTATTATTCTATTTGTAACTGTCCTGGATTGTGGCAACAAAATATTTATCACCATATCTTTCGAGATATATGTGATAATAAATAAAGTTGGGATGTTATGTTGATGTTGTACAGGACATTGGTGAGGCCTCTTCTGGAATACTGTGTTCAGTTCTGGTTTCTCTGTTATAGGAAGGATATTATTAAGCTGGAGAGGGTTCAGGAAAGATTACGCAGATTTTGCTGCGAATGGAGGATTTGAGTTATAAGGAGAGGCTGAATAGGCTGGGACTTTTTTCATGGAGCATAGGAGGTTAAGGGGTGACCTTATAGAGGTTTATAAAATCATGAGGTGTATGGATAAGGTGAATGGCAGGGATCTTTTCTCTAAGGTGGGCGATTTCAAGACTAGGGGACATATTTTTAAGGTGAGAGGAGAAAGATTTAAAAAAAAGACGAGGGACAATTTTTTTTGCACAGAGAGTGGTTCGCGTGTGGAACAAATTTCCTCAAGAATCAGAGGGTGCGGGTACAGTTACAACGTTTAAAAGAAATTTGGATAAGTACATGAATAAGAAATGTTTGAAGTGATATGGAACAAGTGCAGCAGGTGGAACTAGTTTAGTTTGGGAACATGGTTGGCATGGACTAGTTGGACTGAAGGGTCTGTTTCCATGCCGTATGACTCTATGACTCTGAAGGAATAACTCACGTAATCATAACTCATAGACAATACATGTCTCTGTTGTGTTACGTCTCACACCTCATATGCAATATACCTTTAAGAGACACATTCATAATCCCAGCGCTGTATCATGGTGCTGGATCTGAGGGCGTAAAGGTCTCTCTCAGTCTCCTTCTTACCGGGACCACTTGCAGCATGACATACCAGTTGGTTCCATCATTTTGTCTCTTCAATTTGGTACCAAGAGGGGAATTTCTGTGACATCATCTCTCCTCATTTGGCGTGAACACCATCTAGTGCTGCTACTACACACCTGCATTTGTTAAAAAGACAATCCCAAAGACATCATTCATTAAAGTGGTGACAACACTGAAAAATAAAGAAAGAAGCAAAAAAGCAGAAAAATAAAACAGAATAGTAGCCCAAGTAAGAGGAAGGAACAACAATACTTGTACTCTACTTCCAGGGAAAAATAAGACCTTCAACAACAAAAAAAACAAACATTTAATTATGGATTAAGCAAAGAATTTAACCCACACAGACACAAGGAGAATGTGCAAACTCCACACAGACAGACACCCGAGGGTTGAATTGAACACAGGTCTCTGGTGCTGTGAGACAGCAGTGCTAACCCCTAAGGCACTGAAGAATATTGGGAAATCTGGTTTCAAAGGCCAAGCCAGGATTCAAAAGAAGACCAAGGAACCATTAAATTTGATACACCACAACACTGGTGCCAGGAAAGTTTCAAAAACATGCATAAACACAAATGTATCAATGAAATGCACAATAACTGAGCAATACATAAAGCTTGGATAATGACCAAGCATTTCACATTGTCTACCTTACAAAACCAGGTCAAAAGTATAAGGTGATGAGAGCTTTTCTGACAATTAGCCCAAAAAAGAGTGATTTATTGTCAAAGCCAAAAATCAACAAGGAGCGAGTGTCAACATATTACCATGATGCATCTTAAGATGCATACTCCAACAATTGGTGCCCCATGGTACGGCCTACAAGAAACCATCTCCCAGCATGCATTGGATCTCCAATTTCAGGCACAAGAAGTCTGGCAGCCTAGAAGGCAGAGTTAACGTTTTGAGTCCAGTTGACCCTTCTTCAGAACTGTGTGCAAATCCCATTGTCGCAGATGCTGAAATTCAAACTTATACAATCTCTGCAGTGTGGAAGCAGACCAATCAGCTATTGAGTCCACACTGAACCCTCTGAAGAGCATCCCACTCAGACCCACACCCCCATACCCTATCCCTTTAAGCCTGCATTTCCATGACTAACCCACCTAGCCTGCACATTCCTGGACATAATGGGCAATTTAGCACAGCCAATCCGCCTAACTTGCACATCTTTGGACTCAGTAAGTATCTAGAATTGAAAGCTAGGGCAAACGGTGACTGCAAACTGCAAATTGTCATAAAAACCCCACTGGATTCACTAATTTCCTTCAGGAAAGAAAATTTGCCATCCCTACCCAATGTGGGCCTGCACGTAACTCCAGACCCACAGCAATGTGGCTGACTCTCAACTGCTCCTCTGAAATGACCCAGGAAGCCATGCAGTTCAAGGGCAATTATGGATGGGCAATAAATCCTGGCTCATTCAGCAACTCCCACATCTCATGAAGGAAAAAAATTGTTTTAATGTTGCTAATCACAATGCATTCAGCACAAAAACACTTTCCTCAATAACTGCCTAACTTGCCCTGAGTCGGTGGGAAATTACTGAATGAATGCTGTTAAGTCAAGGGGGTTTCGTTGATGAAAAGATGGAAGATTATCCTATATAGATGATCTTAATATAAAAGTTGTTTGGGAACAACTTACATCATAGGACAGAGATTCATCTGAGCAGCTGTGCATTTTGCTTTTAAAGAGGTAACTGAGAGCCTCTGTTACTGAATAAATAAAACTGCTGATCCCAGGCTGCACACCTTGCTGGTGTGTGCATCTCCTGTTCTCTGACTCAGGTTCAGTGAAAATTCACTCACACTGAGGAATGGAATTATCAAATACTGAAATGAGTCTGCCATCAAACTCTGCCTTCCCCACCACCCCCCCCAAAAAGCTGAGGGAGAGTTTATCCAGTGCGCAGGATCAGTGTGGAAAGAATGTTCCCATTTCCCTGACCCTTCCTTGTAAATTCAAGCATTTGTATCTGAAATAATTCCACAGAGGCCAGTATCCCATCACCAAGACCCCCTTTATTTATATGTGGAGAGCCCTTGACACTGGTCCAGCTCCCTCAGAGCCAGCTCTCAGAGTGAAAGGATCCGCATAATCGATGTGGAACTGAGTCCAGGGTTACCCGGCCATTCCCACAAGTGTGAGGGAGGTGCTGGCAATAATTTCTTTGCTTGTTGGTACTCTGGGCACTGTTCCCTCAACGCAACAATGTCTGCAGCCAATCCTGGCCACCAGACATAGCTTCTCTCCAACGTCTTCGTTTTGGAGACCCCTGGACGACCCTGGTGGAGTTCAGCCAGTAACTGGCAGCGACTTTTGCTTGGAACAATCACTCTTGCTCCCCAAGATAATATGTCGTCGTCTGCTGGAATCTGGTCTCTCTGGGTCCAAGAAAGTTTCAATTCCGGTTGTGATGGCCCTTTCGTTACCCCCATCACCACCAACTGTTTCAGTTTCGCCAGGACCGGACCTTTCTGCATCCAAAGTTTGATACTGTCAGCTCTGACTGGAAGTGTGTCCAGAAAATTCCAAGGCTAGGTGGATTGGCCAAGCTAAATTGCCCATAATGTTCAGGGATGTGTAGGTTAGGTGTGTTAGCCATGGGAAGTGCAGGGTTACAGGGAAAGCGTAGGGGGATGGTTCTGGGTGGGATGATCTTCAGAGGGTCAGTGTGGACTTGTTGGGCTGAGTGGCCTGTTTCCACACTGTGAGGATTCTATGAAAATTTAAAACCATTATGGACTCTCTCAGCGGTGGTACCACCAGTGGCAAACCTGCCAGTGGGAAGCAGCACAATGTATCTGTATTCACTACTTGGCCTCCTGGACATTGTTCCAACTTGTAATTATACGCAGTTAGTATTAGAGCTGAAGCTATGGGCAACACTGCCTTGTCCTCTTTAAGTAGACCTAGCAGGGTTTTTGGTCCATTATTATTTCAAACGTATGCTTGTAAAGATATTGGTGGAACTTCCTGACTCCAAATATGACCGCCAAATCTTCCTTCTGTATTTGGGCATATTTACGCTCTGCATTAGTCAAAGTCCTGGATGCATACACCATTGGGTGTTCCTCTGCGTGGGCCACCTGTGAGCTAATACTAACCCAATGCTGTACAGGGAGGCATCACATGTCAACACCAGATCTCACTTGGGATCATAGTGTGCCAACACCTTAGAGGATGATGGAATAAAAACAAATTTGTTGGAAAAGCTCAGCAGGTCTGGCAATATGTGTGAAGAAGAAAACAGAGTTAACATTTCAGGTCCAGTCACTCTTCCTCATAGCTGATGGTGGCTGGGAAAATGTCAGTTTATATGCAGAAAATAGGGAGGGGGATGGGATAGGGAATAAACGATAGGTTAGAGCCTAAAGAGAGAGAAGTGCTAAAACAAAGTTGCTGGAAAAGCTCAGCAGGTCTGGCAGCATCTGTGAAGGAAAAAACAGAGTTAACGTTTTGGGTCCGGTGACCCTTCCTCAGTTCTGAGGAGTTCTCAGGAAGGGTCACTGGACCCGAAACGTTAACTCTGTTTTTTCCTTCACAGATGCTGCCAGACCTGCTGAGCTTTTCCAGCAACTTTGTTTTTGTCCCTGATTTACAGCGTCCGCAGTTCTTTCGGTTTTTATGAGAGAGAAGTGCAGTTGGATAGACAAAGAGTTGATAACGATCAGGCTGGGAGGGTGAATAGTTGTTAATGGGGACTGTTGGTGACTAACAACAGGTAACAGGTGGCAGCCGATGTGGTAACAAGGCCTGGTGTGTGGGGTAGGGGGCTGGGACATCGGAGAGTTTAGACCCTAAAATTATTGAACTCGATACTGAGTCCAAAGGGTTGCAGGGTTCCCAAGCAGAAAATGAAGTGTTGTTCTTCCAGCTTGCGCTGAGCTTCGCTGGAACACTGCAGCAAGCCAAAGACAGAAATGTTGGCCAATGAACAGAGGGGTGAGTTAAAGTGGCAGGCAACAGGTAGCTCAGGGTCTTTTTTGCGAGCAGAATGTAGGTGTTCTGCGAAGCGGTCACCTAGTCTACCTTAGAGGATGATAGCTGTTTCTTCATTTCCCTGAAAGCTATGGCTTGGCTGTGCAACTATTTCCAAGGCTGACTCTTTTTTAACAGTGGATGCAAAGGTGCCAGGATGGAGGTCAGATTACGTTTGAACTTTCTGTAATAATTCAACAACCCAAGGAAAGACCTAAGCTCTGGTGCAGAGGTGGAAGCCGGGCACCTTTGACTACCTTCACCGTATCTTCTAAGGGTGTAACGTGGTCTGTCAACTCCACAGCTCAAATAGATCACCTGGGGTGCCTGGATCAAACATGTTTCCCTTCTAAGGAATACACTTGCCTGGGAGAAATGTCTAAGACTGTGTATGAGTTCTCTAAATGCTCCTTATTAGTCTTCCCTGTTATTAGCGCGTTATCTAGATAAATGGCAACCTAGGATGAACATTGCAAAATGTTCTCCATTGTCCGCTGAAGACTGCACAGGCTGATGATACCCCAAATGGCAGTTTTGTATGTTGGTACAAACCCTTATGGGTATTAATTATAGCATACTTCTGGGAATCCTCATCTAACTGCAATTGCAAGTACGGATGGCTCATGCTACCAGCTTTGCATATACCTCCTCTTTATGAAGGATTGGTATTTACCCAGCTGCGAAAAGCACTTTACTGTTTGTTTAAAATCCCCACAAAGGCGAACCGACCTATTGGGCTTCACAATCAGTACGACGGTGCTGCCCATTCCGCAAACTGGACTGGTTTGATGATTCCTTCACCTTCCAGCCTCCTGATTTCTGCCTCTACTTTTGCACGAAAGGCAAATGGCAGTGAACGGGCCTTACAGAATCGTGGAATTGCTTCTTGGTCAACATGCAAGGTGGCCTTGGCTTCTTTGATAGTTCCTCGACTTTCCTGGAAGACTTCAGGGTATTTATAGAGTCATAGAGACATACAGCACAGAAACAGACCCTTCAGTCCAACTTGTCCACACCAACCAAGTTTCCCAAACTAAACTTAGTCCCACTTGCCTGCGTTTGGCCCATATCCCTTTAAACCTTTCTTATTCATATACCTGTCCAAATGTCTTTTAAACATTGTAACTGTATCTGC